GTCCGACTTTAGTAGCTTAAATTTAATTTTGCTCTTGCAGGAACTGGGTTGTGGGGGTGCGAAGGTTATGCTGAAGATGCTCACAGTGAACTAATAGCAGGTAAAGTGTCATTTGAAAAAAGTGAGTGGAATGCACATGCTCATTGCACAGAGAAAATTAATGAATTTTCTTCCCCTAATTCTTTCTCCCTGGTTTGAGTTCCCAACTGGTGTCTTTTGCTGTGACTGACAATGAATCTGCCCCTGCGTATGTTAACAAAAACATATTAGCTGTCTCAGTGGTTATAAGGAATCCCAGGTCACAAGAACAGAGACACCACAGTGGCCAACTGCACACATACATATGCATAGTGAAGCAAATACAGGAATCTCAGCTCCAGCAATAACACATGGGCTACTGGAGAATCTCCATTGCCTGTCAGTAGTAGTGTTAAGGCTTATTGTCTTTGCAAGTCCCCAGCCATTAGAGGGCAGTATGATCACAAACACTTTGATGAGTTTCGATTCTGCCCAGTAGAGGCAGCAGATGACACGTACACATCAGCTAGTACATTACATGGTGACAGTTAATCTGCCACCCAGTAGGGAGCAGTAGCTAGACTCCAATTTTTGTGCATCTCCCATAATAATAAAAATAATTGGCCTCTAGGATATGGTGGTGTGAGGGCCAAGGATGTTGTTGCAAAGGGAAACCTTTACATGACTGCAGTGATGGAATGGTTAGGAGGTTAGCCTAGTACTGAGCTGTCGGTTCAATTCCCTGCTCTGCCACAGCCTCCCTGTGTGAGCTCAGGTAAGTCACCTAGTTTCTCTGTGCCTCAGTTCCCCATCTGTGCAATGGAGGATCATAGCACTGCCCTGTTTCACAGGGGTGTGGTAGGGACAAATACATAGTCAGATGCCCAGATAGTGGAGTAATGGAACCCATATAAATACATAAGGAAAGGAAGACGTTGCTGAACTGCCTTCACTGCAGCCATTAGCAGAAAGATGCTGTAAACATACAGTTAAGGATAGCATAAAATCCCTCCTTTACCTGTAAGGGGTTAAGAAGCTCAAATAACCTGGTTGGGACCTGACCAAAAGGACCAATAAGGGAAGAAGATACTTTCAAATCTGTGGGGGGAGGTTTTGTTTGTGCTCTCTTTGTTGTGCTCTCTCGGGACAGAGAAAGGGACCAGGCAGGAAAAAAACCTCTCCTAAAACCCTACCTGAAATAAGCATCTAAGATTACAAAAACTGTAAGTAAAGCAAGGAAATGCATTAGATTATCTTTTGTTTTAGCTAGTGAATTTTCCCTATGCTAAGAGGGAGATTTATTCCTGTTTTTTGTAACTTTGAAGTTTTGCTTAGAGGGGAATCTTCTGTGTTTTAAATCTTATTACCCTGTAAAATTACCTTCCATCCTGATTTTACAGAGGTGCTTCTTTTACTTTTTTCTTTATAATAAAGTTCTGCTTTTAAGAATCTGATTGGTTTTTAGTGTCCTAAAAACCCAAGGGTCTGGTCTGTGCTCACTTGGTTAACCTATTGGTTGATATATTATTCTCAAGCCTCCCCAGGAAAGGGGGTGAAAGGGCTTGGGGGGATATTTTGGGGAACAGGAACTCCAAGTGGTCCTTTTCCTGAATCTTTGCCTAACTTATTTGGTGGTGGCAGCAATACTGTCCAAGGACAAGGAAGAATTTGTACCTTGGGGAAGTTTTTAACCTAAGCTGGTAGAAATAAGCTTAGGGGGTCTTTCATGCGGGTCCCCCATCTGTACCCCAGAGTTCAGAGTGGGGAGGGAACCCTGACAGATGCTGTCTAATCCATCTGCCTTCATGCTGCCCCAAGCGAATGGCAAATAAGCCACATGTTATCATTATAGTCCACAAAGAAAAAGCTAAAGCCAAATACCTGGGTGAAGCCCCCTCTTCCATGCAGTGCTATACAGCACCCCACCTTTCCCACTGGATGCCACCCAGCTTTAGCAATTTACATCAAATAGGACCTGGATTGAAACCGTCCCTCACTTTAAAAAAACCCCAGGAGCTCTCCCTGTGAACATTTCTAATGTTGACTGAAGGCTTTCAGATGCCAAGGTCCATGGAAGACATTTTCTCCCACTGATGCAACCAGCTGCTTGGCCGGGGAAAGCTGGAATGAGTTGTGCTGTAAGCTTTGGATTCACCTCTGGTCTTGTCACTTGGTTAAACTGCTGATAGGCTAACGGAGGCTGCCTTGCCCTCCCTGGACATCTGAGCCATCTGTCTAGGTTCCCAGATGAGAATGAAAGAGACAGGGAAGGGGATGGGCAGGCAAGAGTGCCCACGTGTAAGACCAAACGTACATGCCAATAAAGTTGAGTCATGCGGGACTGGCTGGTTCTATCACCACTCTGGGATGGAAGGTGTAAACAGCTCATTGTGAGTTGATGACTACATGGTGCTTTGGATGAGTTTTTGCATATAGATGTCTCACTTCTTGGCTCTCCACGGCAGGAAGATGACTGATGCTTTGTATATATTGGCTAGGTAACAGGCTACCCATATTTCAGCCGCAGTGTGTCTCAGAGATAATGTCCAACAGGAGATTCCATTAGAAGCTTGACTGGCTAACCAGAAACAATAACTAGATGCTGAGAATGGTATATCTGAAATGGCTAAAACAGAAAAATCTACTTGCGGTTCCATTCAAAGACTTTATTGGAAATACGGTAAGAGTTCCTGGGTTCTTTATTGTTAAGGAGTAGTCCTCTTGTGTCCAGGCATTTGATGCATGATGTCAGCTCCCAATGCCCTTATTTCGACTTGGTCCCAGGAGTCCTGAGATTCTTGGTTTTCTTTCTTCTGCTACCAAACAACAGATCTATTTTAACAGCAGCTAATTCTCCACTGAACCATTCTGATAGAAAATGAGGAGTTTAATATAATCCCATCACCCCCTCTCTTAGGAGAGAACTTGGACTTCCACGTTTTGCCTTCTTGGATATGGCTGCAAGCTCAACTTTTGTGTTATATAGTTGGTAGTCTGGGCTGTCTAAATGGCCCCAGGCAGAAAGTCAAAGACAGGTTTTAAGGCTGGATAAAGTATTTCACCCACTGTATAATCCCAAAGTAGCCTGGAGGTTTTGAGTTGTTTTGTACTGTTTTTGATGTAGAGCTTACATGAGGCTTTATAAAGAGATGTTGCTTTCTCAGCTAACACTGCAATAGCTTATGAGCTGTTCTGCAGAGTACCCCTTTAGCTTTGGCTCTTTGCAAACAAACCAGTCCTCCTCAATGCCCTTTTTAGTGTTTGGGATGTGTACAATCACAAATACATACATGCTTGTGTAGTGACACGCAGACCTAGGTACATGCATTCACACCCACACATACATTTGAACACTCAGATGCAAATCACATGAATACAGACACACACTCTTGTGCAGATGCAAAACAAATGGACATAGACAAACACATATATACACACAAAAAATCATGCCCACAGACACACATGTGGAGAGATGTATGTACATACATACATGTGCATAGACATACACACCCCTATGTACTCGTACACACACTAGGAGATGCCTTCTAGGCATTGATCTTCAGATCTAATTATTAGACAATTTTGATCCATTTTTTCACTCTGTCCTTCCAAAAACCTATCCTAGTCCAATGGACTTCAACAAGACTAAAAGGCGTCTACCTGTTTTCCTTCTCAAATGTCCCTACTGATAACTTTCAAACATTAACAGGTACGATCAACACTGGCTTTTGTGTTTATGTACCTATTGCTCCATCTACTTTTCTAGTCAGAGCCAGTAGAGTGACTGTACAATGACCTCAAGAGAGTCCATATTGATCATCTCTCAACTGATCTGAACCTTCAGCCGTGTTCCGTCTGTTTCTAATAGCACCACTGTTAGTGAATGTTGTGGAATCAGAACATAGCTGATGATACTGTTGATACATGACCTAAAAAAGAATCCAGCTGCCGCTCCGGTGACAGTATGGACTCTTCAGGGCAAACAGGCATGAAACAGTAAGTGACCAAGCACAGGAGCAGGTAAATAGCTTTAGAAGGGGTCACTTCAACATCAGCCCTCATCTAAACTCTTGCCTCATGTAGCTTGTATCCTGACTAGTGAAAGCGGGGCCTGCAACCAGTTCCTTAGCTACCTGAAAGGAAAACTACCTCTTCCTCACTTCCCCTCTCTCTCCTGAAAGAGCGTGGATTCTCCTCTGTCCGTTTATTCTTTAGGTGCCACCTTTGGGAATTTGTCTCGCAAGTCATGGCACCATGTGTTGTTACACCATTGTGGATCACAAGGGAAGTGGCATAACATAGGTAGGAGGTAAATGAGGGCAAAGTTCTCTTCTCTGACCTTTGTTTTGGCTAGGGCTTTCTGGAATATGAAGGGAGAATTTTGTGGCTAGGAGATCTGGGGTGGGGACTGGGGGAAAGTATTTTGCAAATAAATTGGCTATGTAGCCCCACTCTGTTGCCAGAGCAGAGCAGAGAGGGCTTGGTATCCAAGAATCAGGCCTGTAGCTCCAATTTGGATCCATCTCTCTTTCTAATAGAGGCAGACAGAGAGAGGGATGGTTTGAATTTGTGGGGGTGGGAGGGAAACAAGAAGTCAGGGTTTTGTTCTGTCAAATCCAAACCTGAGCTGGTTTGGCTTTAAGACCCTTTTCATCGAAACCCCCAGCATCAGGGCCATCAGCATCAATAGTTTCTGTTTGGGACAGTTCCTATACACATGGTAACCCTGTGAGTCACCTTATGGGAAAGGACAAATTTTCCATCCCCTTTGGGATCCTGTCTCTAGCTGTTGCCAAGGTTGGATGGTTCAGTTAGATCTCTCCTCCAGTTTTCTGCATGGGCAATTGTGTAAGGCTGCATTCCTGGAGTGGAGTGGGGGTGGAGATGTGACAGATTTCTGTTACCAATCTGCCTGAGGCGTCAGGTGATCAGGCTGAGGCCACAGGATTGTTAAGGGAGGAGATGACAGAACACACCAAGTGTCTAAGTTTTAAAGCTTTATTGATAAAATAATAAAATAACAGTGGAGAGTGATGGGTGCTCCCCACGTCACTCAGAGGAAGGAAGAAAGCGTTAGTGCCCCAACCTCTAACCTACTTTCATACTCACACACTCACTACCCGAGGCTGGCCAGGCCTGGGTGTAACGTAAAAAGAAGAGGGGGAAGGGTGGACGGGAGTTCTGTCCTGTGCGCATGGGTCATCCGGGGTCTGCTGCTGATCTCCGAATTGCTCCAGCAATCTGGAGGGTTTTAAGTCCTGGGTTCCTTTGGGGGTGTTCCATTCCACGACCTCTGTTCCTAGTCCTCTTTGTGCCAGTCCAAATCGGCTTTCTGTGGTCTTCTCTGCTTTCCCAAAACACAAACGGCTCCAGGGACGCAAAACTCTGCTCCCCCACTTGACGTCTCACTGGTGTTTTCCATTTCTGCAGTCCTGGTTCAGTGTACTTTTTCTTTTTTCATGGCTGGCTGTGGCTGGGTGAGAGATAAACGCAGCTTCAGACTTTTTCTCTAGCGCCGTGACCTTGGACTGGGGCCAGCGACTTATCGTCGGACTGAGCTTGCTAGCTGCAATGTTGAGTTCTCTGCTCTCTTTCTCCTTCCCCCTTTGGCCTCTCGTAGCCTGCAAAAGAATCTTCCACTCCCCACTCACACCTTTGACCCTTCCCAAATTGCCCTGCGATGCTTGCAACAGCGTTAGCAATATACAATGCATATACAATGCTGATCTGCCTCCTCCAGGGGACCCCCTGAGGGGTGGGCCATTGGGGTGTGACAGGGATTCCCTTGACCCATGTGCAATGTGCTTATGTCCTGAAGAATGAGGTCTGCTTCACCCTAAAGCAATTATAAAATGATAGATATTTTGCTATTCAGGGAGTGTGATTGCAACACTTGAGAGGTTAATGCACCAGGGAGGTGGCTGGTGCTTTCATGCTGCTGTGCTGTATCAAACAGCAGTTTCCAGGAAGATGAATATCCGTAACCGAGTAGCACAGCAGAGCCCAAAGCCTGTTCAAAAGAATTCTTTTTGATGATCTGGTTTTATTACTTTCAATGAACTGGAGTCTCCAAGGTGCTGGTGAATAAGGGATGCTGTAAAGCAGTGCCTTGTACACACGTTTCAAGCTGCGTCTGCTGATGCTAAAGGGGATGAAAGAGAAACTGCTTAGCAATGACCCTAGGGCCTAAACCCAGCTCGAGTGCTCCACAGGGCATTTGCTGAAACAAAAAGATCTGAACCATTTGCACTGGGACATGGTGGTGGGGACAAAGATTATGCATTTGCTTTCCCTGCTGGGAAAAATAATCTGTTTTCCAGATATAGCACATGGCTGGTGTTATATGCTTCAGAAACATGCATTCCAATAAATAAAGAAATTAAAAAAAAGTCAAATCAGAAACAGGCTATTGTGAATTTGGGGCTGTATTTCCATCCAGACGTTTCTGGTGGTTTCATAATAAACCATGACAGAGGCTAAACTGGCCAGAACCCCTTAACAGAAATATAGTCCTTTAATTCACAATTGCCTTTTATATAATCTGTATTTAATACAGGGATTAGAGTAAAACTCACCACAAGCTATTGTGAAGGGGTTGACTTACTGTTAATGCATCCTTGTGGCCAGGCATGGGATAGCCTGTCACGTACCTCCTGCCGATTGTTGCTTTGGGCCTGAAGTGGTCTGCATCTTCCTCTGACTTGGCCCTCTGGCCAGGTCACTTTAAAGTCTCTCCCCTTCCGGTGTAGTCAACAAACAAAAACAAGGGGAATGAGTCCAAATAAACTGAAATCACCAGTAATTGTGGGAAATGGCCTCCTCCGCTTGATGTGAGTCAGCGTCTGGCACTCCCTTTCCTTTGGGAGGGGCTGTCGGACAGAGTTTGGCTGGGGAGCTCCTGCCTTCAGCCAGCCCTCTTTTCAGGACCTGAGTGCTGAAAGTCTGCTCTCCTCTCTGGTCTAGCATCCACTGAGCTGGGGTCTCCCTCTTAAGCTCCTCCCTCCAATCCTGACATTTCTCACAGGTGTAACAGGGCAGAGCCAGCTGAGCCCATATGAGCTCTTCAACCCCATGTTGTCCAGTGTGGGATTTGTATACCTCAACGCACCATTCATAAATGGAGTCTCCCCACTGACCTGTGCAGTGACTCAGTTTTATTGTCTTCATTGAACAGCTGGGGAGATTGGGGACACAGAGGGATGAAGTGACTTGTCCTAGGTCATGCAGCAAGTCACTTGCAGAACTGGAAATAGATTCCAGGTCTGCTCTCCCTCAGGGCTGTGTCTTAACCACAAGGCTCCCCACCCCCTTCCTTCACAGTGACCCACAGTACTGAAGAGTCTGTTGAGAGAGATTTTTTATTTGCAGACTCAAGTTTCAAGCCAGTTCACATCAGCTTCCAAACTTATGCATCACTGAACTGAACTTATGACCCTTCTGAAGTCCTCCCATCCTGAGCTGACCTAGGCTCCAATCACTGCTTTCTGGACGTACCATTATACAATACTACCCTGCACATTGCCGCTCAGTGCTTTCAATTTGGAATTCAAATCATGTGTATGCTTTATAAAAGGCTCTCTACTGTGAACCTCAGAAACACATATGCACTCTCCAACTGTGTGGGTTTTCTTTTTCCTGCCTGGTGCACAAATTACTCATTGTAACTGATAAATGAACGGAACTGTGTAACCCTCTTTATAGTTTACAGTTTTTATAGTGCTTTGCTGCCATATGTTATAAATTCATGAAGCAATTGTAGTGTATAACAGGTTTGTTTGTTTGTTTGTTTGTTTGTAAATTTTAGTTATATAAATTTTAGTTATAGTTCTTGCAGCTGTATGTGTGTGTATATATATATATATATATATATATTTTCTCTCTCTCTCTCTGTCTTCTCTGTGTGTGTCTCTCTATATCTATATGTGGCCACATTCAAATTCTTTCTCAGCAGTTTCCCTGGAATCGCATTGTGTATCATAGCTTAACATAATCGGATGGGAAGCACTTTCTCTTAATATCTGAATAAGTAACACTGCAAAGACAAGAGGATTTTAATCATCAATAACCACGGTAGTTACAAATTAAATATCTGAGCTCTTGGAAGCTCATTCATCATAAATATCCCACAACATCTGTAATAGAGAAATGCATGGCGTCACTGCCAGTGGTGAACAAGATACATTATTAAAGGGCCATAGTTACTGCAAGCAAGTTTAGACAAACTGAATTATAATAATAATTAATAATACCTAGTTCTTATATAGCTTATAATACCTAATATAGCTCTTAAGCAAAGGGATGTTAGGACAGGCACCCCATTCTATGAGGTTGTAATCTACTTGAGAGAGGAGAAAGGAGGAAACCAGGGAGGAATATGCACAGCAAGGAGTTCACCTCTGAATAGGATGGATCATAGGTAAGGCTGCGAGTTTCTCATGGAGGTCACGCATTCCGGGACTTTCCGGGACCTCCAGGACTTCTGCAGTGGCCAGTGCGGCTGGCCCGGGGGCCGCCTGAGCAGCACAGGCAGCCCCTGGGCCAGCTGCACCGGTAGCTGCTGGGGCAGACTCGGGCCACTGCACCCCCCCATGCCCCAGCAACAGCAGGAATTTGGGTGTGGGAGGGGGCGCAGGGCAGGGGGTGGGGTGCGGCAGGCGGTGGGGTGTGGGAGGGGGTGAGGGCTCTGGGTGGTGCTTACCTGGGGGGCTCCCCAGAAGCAGTGACATCCCCCTCTATCAGCTCCTAGCAGACGGCTCCGTGCGCTGCCTCTGCCCGCAGGCACTGCCTCTGCAGCTCCCATTGGCTGCGGTTCCCGGCCAGTGGGAGTGCGGAGCCGGTGCTCAGGGTGGAGGCAGTGCGTGGAGCCAGATAGGGAGCCTGCCAGCCCCGGCAACCCTTCCCCCAGCACCAGCGGGGGTCGTGGGCCACGCACCGCTGCCCACCCCCCCAGCACTAGTGGGGGTTCTGGGCCACGCGCCGCTGCTTGCCCACCCAGGCACCAGTGGGGGTCCCAGGCTGCTCCCCCCACGAGCACCCGTGGCACCCTTGGGCCACCCTGAGCACCTGCTGCCCTCCCAGCACTCGCAGCACCCCTGGGTCGCCCCCCACAAGTTTTAATCAGGGGTATATAGTACAAATCATGGACAGGTCACGAGCTGTTAACTTTTGTTTACTGCCCGTGACCTGTCCATGACTTTTACTAAAAATAGCCATGACTAAAACGTAGCCTTAACCTTAGGAGCTGCCATCTGGGAACATACCAGTGTACAATACCCTGCCTCTGGCCACACCACATCATACCACCGGTCCATCTTGTCTGGTAGTAACTTACAATATGCCTGATGATCCTGGGAAAGGAGAATAGGCCACCTACTAGTTTCACTTAGCCAATTGTCTAAAGTTTTAGATGAGGAGGGGTTCTCCCATTGGCATAGATAATCTACCTCCCTGAGAGGCAGTAGCTAGGTCGACGGAAGAACTCTTCTGTCCGTTTAGCACTGTCTACACAGGGACTTAGGTTGGCTAATTTACATAGCTCAGAGATGTGGATTTTTCACACACCTTAGTGACATTGCGGAGTTGATCTAGTTTTCTAGTGAAAGTACCTATGCTACATTTGTGCATCTGTATATTAGAGAAACGCTAAACCAAAACTCTGGAAGAAACACCCCTAAACTTTGGTGGGTGGTGGTGGTTTGGTGGTTTGGAATCTTAACCTGTATCTGGATTCAAATCTCACAGCTGCCCCTATTTCTGTGCTAAGCTGAACAAAGCTCCCAGGTCTGATCACCTTCATACTTTGGCAGGCGGATGTGAAATCCAGTTCTTCATTTTGCATTGGAAATGCTGAGGGCTCAGCACTTTTGAAAATCAGGCCACTTATTTAAGTGCCTAAAAAGGACTTAGGAGTAGAGCTGTGTGAAGAATGGAGTATTTTGTTCATTGGCAATGCTGAAAAAAATTGAGTTGGGTCAAACTGAATTTTTTTTTTTTTTTAAATTTTGGTGATTTGAGAAGTAAAAACAAAATTAAACATAAACAATTTGGCACAACTGACATGAATTGGCACTGTGTTTTGGTGGTGCTACATCTGCATTTTTTACCCCCAAACAACATTTTGGACGAAAAATATCACCCAGCTCTACTTAGGAGACCGATGTCAGCCTCCTGCTTTTGAAAATTTTTGGCATATGTAAATTCTATTATTTGCATACGCAAGTGATTGCATGCAGAAAACTGCAAACGTACCAGCCACATATTACAAGCCATAACATAAAATTTTGGGCCAGTAACGCTTTGTTCACAGTAAACACTTGTGAATGCTATTACAGTGGATAACAACTGCTCTCAATTTATGACAAATCAACACCTCTGGAGGGGTAAGCACAGACATGAGTGCAGTGCAATAGGCCTGGAGCCAAGAGACGGATATCAATTCTTGGGACGTCATAAAATGAAACATGCAAGAGTGCTACAGTCATCGGACATAAGCACCCCTCCGTCGCTTCTCGCAAATACTTTGAAAATCTTCTAAAGGAAAAAAAAATTGCAGCTTATAAAGTTATCTCAACATCTCATCAGCTCACATTTTGATCCTATCCAAAATAACAGCAAATGACTCATCTACTGCGTAAAGGATTTCACACTCCCAGTTGCATTTCCCCATTGATGTCACACACTGAATGGTGATACAGCACCTGGTTGCACTTGATCAAGCAGAAATTGATGCGCTCAAGTCCCATGCTATTGTGACTGTCGGGGATGGGGGAGGGGAGGAGAGAAAGGGAACGACACCCACCAAATAAAAAGAGAAAAAATAAGTCGGCTGCCTCATTCCTTTCTTTATGAAGTGAGTAAGAAAGATTAAATAATTTAGTGAGTCATTGCCAAGCCAATGAAGCTTTCATAGGAGCAACCCAAAGAGATCCTTGGAATAGCAACAGAGACTCCTCCTGCCTAATGGGTCTTGAAAGAAATTGTGCTGTCATGGAATTTGGCCTTGAAAACAGATCTAAGTCTTCCACTGTATGGGTGCTGATGGCCCAGCCTCATCCTTCATTACTAACACAGTGCAGCCCCTTTCCAATGCTACAGATCTCATAGCTGCTTCCTGTTCTGTGTGCCCTCTGCTGGTGATGGCAGAAACAACTTGGTTGTTCTTTGGCCAGGGAGTTGGGCTATTGGTTTTGGTATTTTGGCAAACCGCACAGTACTGTGGAAGTCAGACAGTTCTGAATGGTTTCCAAGTACTGCTAAGGAATTCTGCTAGCCAGAGTCATTTTGTGCATTAATTGGTCTTGCTTACTTTCAGATCTCACAGGATTATTTTGTTTCCCTGACAGGGCTGGGACTGGGCCTATGTGCATTTGTGCTCTGAGCAAGGAGGAATTTAGCAACCATGGCTCCCCACCCACTTACCCCAACAACATTCTTGGTTCTTTGTCTGTCTACTCCTTCAAAAGGGAGCTCCTTGTTTCTACTCAGGAATGGACACCCACATTCTTTTGTTCTCCACATGTGCTTCCAGATCTTTTCCATCAGCTGGAGCAGTGTCTCAAAGAGGAGCCATGGAAGCCAGTAAAGATTCATAGATTTTGAGGCTAGATGGGACCACTCTCCTAATCAAATCTTACCTCCTGCATAGGATAGGCCATAGAATTTAATCCAGTAATTCCTGCTGCAGTGAAGGGAATTCTTCTTTCCTGCTGTGGATGTGAACAGTTTTGATTTAGATACATCAAGTGACAATGAGTTTACTACTTTCCTTGGTAAGCTGTTCCAGTGGACAATTACCCTCACTGTTAAGGATTTGCACCTTTATTCCCGTTTGAATGTTTTTAAATTTAGCTTCCAGCCATTATGTCTTGTTATGCCTTTGACTACTAGATTAAAGGGACCTTTGATCTCAGATAGCTTCCCCTTGTCCAGATACCCATAGACTGTTTTGAAGTTGCCTTGGATCTAGAACTGTTTTCTAACCCTCTGAAGTTCATTGTGTGAGGTGTAGGTGGGTGTTCAGAGCACGTTAGCTCATTATAGGGATCAGCTGCAAAGTTCAAATCTGGATCTGCCTTTGGATTCTTAAACTCTGCCCCCACCTCTAAAGTCTCTACACAGAGAAGAGCAATTGAAGACTGGCCTGTTGGGGAATGCCCATGGTGAGCCCATGGCTATTCCAGGGAGGTCTCTTTAGATGTGACATGTGTGATACAGCACGGCCAGAGGGCAGCAGGAGAGTGTTTTTTTTTTTTTTTTTTTTGAAGCCGAAAAGAATTTTATTTGTGTAACACTTACAAAGAATCACCAAAAAGGATAAAGCAAAACTATGCAACAAAACAAAAGCAAATGCAAGGTATAACACAGCAGCCTTCAGGAGGGAGAAGTGTTCAGGTTAGCCTGGGCCTAGAGCGGGGGGGCTTCCTCGACACTCGTGGTCTTCCACCCTTCTGAGTTACCTGGTGGCCTAGAGCGGGGGGGCTTCCTCGACACTCATAGTCTTCCACCCCCTCGAGTTACCTAGTGCCACGCCCAGTGTCACCGATTATTCCTCTCCTGAGAGTGCCCGACAAGATGGGCACGGCTGCGGGGTGGGCGGTTTGGGGGTGGGGGGGGACGTACACCCACGTGTGATAGGACAGCAGGAGAGTGTTAGAAGGGAGCCTTTATTCTCTGTACCGGGAAGAAAGTTTGCTATAAATTAATTAAAGCACCTGAAGCCAATTAAAGCACCTGAAGCCAGTCACATGATAAAAAACCCCTGCTTCAATCAGACAAGAGGAGTTGAAGCAGAGTGGATTGGTGTTGGAGCAGAGAGCAGTTCAGAAGAGTTGAAGTAGAGTGGATTGGTGTTAGAGCAGAGAGCAGTTTGGAGGGAAGCAGAGGAGAGTTTGGAGAAGTGCTGTGGTGGGCTAAGAAGTCCAAGACCCTAGGTAAAGGGACACCTGGTTTGTGCAGAGGGAGATCAGGAAGCCCCACAAGCTGAAGGGCAGGAGAGGGAAGTAGCTCAGGGGAAGGAACCGCTAGTTCTAGTGGTTTACCGCTATCCCTAGGCCCCCTGGGCTGGGACCTGGAGTAGAGGGTGGGCCTGGGTCCCTCCCTCTCCACTCCTCTCCTCTAGGACACTAGTGGGGCAGTTAATACCCCAGTTCAGGGGCATGAAAGGGTGAAAACCACCCCTCCTCCCCCCCGCAAAAGAGAAAGCATGAGACCCATCATAGTAGTGCCGGCAATTTGCCACACATGCCATATGGATGCTGGCTTTCTCTGACGGCCTCTGCTACCGTGTGTATAGTTAACAAATGTACTCCAATACCACAAAGTGGAGTATGCTCAGGACTGCAGGTGTTAGAGGCAATGTGGATTTCCTTTCCATTGGGATGTGGCTTTCTGGTTGTTAGTCACTGCTACGCTTCCGATAGGACTTCTGCACTAGTTCTCTGCTGAACACTACAGTCCCTGGAATGCCAAGCCTGCTTA